GCAGGGCAGGGAGGGACACAGGACAGGACAACCAGTTAGGCAAACTTTAAGAACCTTCGTATTCCCTTACGCACTCTCTGATGAGAGCTGGCATTTCCTTTGCAAATAATCAAGTAACAAACCAAAAGTGAATGTTGTTCAGGGGAGGAGGAACCGCAGGGAAAAAAGAAAAGTAACGCGCTACTGTACCATCCAAGTCTTTTACTTCTTTCGGAATTTCCAACCGGCACACTCAAGTTTTATTAGCGCACTACCAAAACCAGATTGATGGTAGGAGGGTATCTCAGTGGTACCGTATTATCTCAGCTCAGGCTTTGATGAATTAAAGCCGGAGCATTACACCGAGGAGAGCCAGAGCTGCTATTTAAGACCAATGACAAAAGATAACCAACGTGAAAGAATTTCTCACCGTGAGGAAAGAACTGCAACAAACAACTGAGAAGCATACACAGCTGGACCGAGACTAGGTGGTGTTTCCTCCTCTGCCTTAAATTTCAGTTCAGTTCCTTCCCACTCCCCAATTTCCCTCTCATACCACTTGCAATGAGCAAAGAAAACAGGATGCCGCTGCTGCTCAGTGGGCTACGTCTGAGAAGCGGCTACAGCGTTCTGAAAAGCAAAGCGTCAAATTCGATTTCCACAGCGAACACACTGCAAAGATCACCGTCAGAGAGAAGCCTGCACACGGAAGCACAGCATTCTTTTCATAATGTACGTCACAGGACGCTTCTAACCGCCAACGTCACAAAACAACGGAAGAAAACCTTTTAAAACGGGAACCCAAGAACACTTCCCCATATGTGACTTTTAAATGTTACTTTTGCAGCAGCCGATACAAACACTTACTTAATAGCGGTGGTCATACTCTGTGCTTGCTGTTGAGTGCCGTTATTGATTGTGTTGGCATTTTTCAGCTGGTTCATCTGTTGCTGAGTCTGTGTGCCTCCACCTCCTGGGCCCCCGCTGGGTTTTACAGGGCCTCTCAACTGCCCATTCTGACTGGATAGACCCATTATAACAGGGTTCTCTGTTCTGGCCGTGCTCATGTTTGTATTTTTAAAGATGTCTTTTTAGACTTCAAAACTTTGAAAGTCAGTACAGAAACTGTAATAACAGTTTATTAGACTCTCCAAAACGAAGAGATAAATAAGTCTTGCTCAATATATGAGTCCTTTATTGCAATGCAGGCAAGCACCTGTAAGTCACTCAAAAGTAAAGTAGTAACTTGCTCTGATGCACTGTGGATCAACTTTTTTTTAAAAAAAGCCCTCTAACAAAGTTGAGTTGTATCACAATTCACTTGCTTCAATCTGAAAGAGAAGCAGACAAGAACCATTAGCATGTGGATTTTTGTCTACGTAAATCACCACATCAGTTTACCTTTGTATTTTAAGAATTGCTTCTTCCCAAGCGGTGCGCAACAACAGTACTCGCTTTTCTGTTTTCTCGGTGATAATTACTGAGACATGCGTCAAACTTTTTTTCCCCTTTCTGTAAAGCTGCACCCACCACCTTCAGTCACCAAAGATAATTTTCTAAACAGCTGTACTTTCAGCAGCCTGCTGGCGAGTAACCGCTTGAAAAATACTACCTGCCCGCCCCTCCCGCCCCCCGTAAAGTAAGCACGAGTCATATCAATTGCCTTGTTGGGTCTTGAAATTCCCCCACTTCTGGGACACAGCAAGGCAGCCCTACAATGCTAAGCAACATTATGCACAAGCTTGCGACAGGAAGCAAGACCACAATATCAAGTGGATATTCCACTAGAAGCGATGAAACCCTTAAGTTACTCCGATTACCCTTTTCACTTCAAAAGAGAAACAAAAATAATGGTTTTTTTACTTTAACAAAACAAAACACCACAAACCAACAAAACACAAACAGCTTACCCTCCTCCAACCCAAAAAGTTAGTTCGACCAGCTTACTCAACCTTTTAAATTAGGTATTGATTTAACACCATTCGGAATAGCGAAACTAAGGATATCATCAAGCTGAACTGACAGTAGCTTCCTGTTTTGTTAAGTCTAAGTGACTGAGCCTAAACTGAAGCAGTGAGTAATATACGTTTACACTAGATACCTAGCTTCCTGCTTATGTGTTCCACGTGACGTTACCTTCCAGCTGTCCATAACAACTCGTATTGTGCTCAAAAGATAACATTTGGTACGCGTGACTTAATGTTGACACCCTATTTAACAGGAAAGGTGGCAAAACCATAAAGAGACAATACAAAGTCTGCCCCTTACGTAAAAGTAAGCAACGGACCAGAGCTGAAAAACTCCTTACAACGATATTAGGGAGCCCAGACAGTCCTAGTCTGAAACCTTTCGGAAGCACGAGAAAGTAGGCTTGCCTGTACAAAATTTCTCATCGCAACGCATCTGTATCTTGGGAAAACACAAAGGAAAAACCAGCAGACTACTGCTTCCTAACTTCAGTGTCCACAAAAAGCACACGTTTCCCCAGTGAATAAAAGGCACATTCAAGAGGACGGAAGAGGAATTCAGATGCTTCCCAACTGTTTCCAAGCACATCAATTCTGGCTTCACAGCAAAACTTTAAAGTTTGCAGAACTAGCGCTTTTTTTCTGCTAGTTATCCTCCTGACTGGAAGCACTGTTCCAAGGCATCTTCGAAGAGAGATTTCTCCTGCCCATTAACTTTGTAAAAACCGGACGAGTCACAAAAGTAACCAGGGCCGCCTGAAAGACATGGACGCCAACGCCGAGGAGTTCCCCAAAACTGTAGATGGAACTTCTCAGACCCTTAACCAACCTCCCTCCCTCCCTCGCTCGCTCCTAACTTCCCTTTAAAA